CTACCAACAGTTTCCCAATAACTCTTTCCCTATAGGCGTCTTTAAGTGTCGAGCTCCATTACCAGGATTGGGATATTACTTTCATGATCCAAGACTACAAAATATTCTACCCTTGCAAGGGCAGAGGAGGAGGTATCAGGGAGCTCATCACTGAGTTCTCAAGCCTCTTTGCAGATTTCAGACTCAAAGGTCTCCGTTCCTCTCACCATCCCTGTAAGACACATTGGACACCTACCATTTCACATAAGTAAAATGTTCCAGAAAGATCAAATAACGGCAAAGGCCACTCAGCTAACAAGCTAAAAGCAGGATTTCCAGAGCTTCACAATATACCTTGGCTCTGGTAAAGAACACCACTGTAGTACAAGAGGTGACTCACACACCCCTCAGGGAAATACTTTCTCCTGCACTCCAGAGTTCCAAGAGAAACTAAAAAGGGCTGAACTAACACCTATCGGAGAAGCCAGATATGGTGGTGCAACTTATTAAGACCTTGTCTCTTGGGCTGGGGATTTAGCTCAGTGCCACTGAGCCTGCCTCCCAAGCAACCTTAAATACTTGATAGTACATTATTTTTAAAAAGAACAGCAGGCCGGGGATTTAGCTCAGTGGTTTCCAGGCCTGCTACGCAAGCGCAAGGACTGGCGTTCAATCCCAGGTACAAAAAAAAAAAAAAAAAAACAGCCAGGTGTGGTGGCACCTGTAATTCCAGCACTTGGGGAGGCTGAAGCAGGAGGATCCCTGCAAAGTTCAAGGTTAGCCTGGGCTACATAGTGAGTTCAAGGACAGCCTGAACTACATAGCAAGACCCTGTCTCAAACAACAAAAATAGAAAATAAAAAAGAGAACAAGCTGGGTGTGGTGGCATATGCTTGTAATCCCAGGGATTTGTGAGGCTGAGCCAAGAGGATTGCAAGTTCAAAGCCAATTTAGTGAGACTGTCTCAAAGTAAAAAATAAAAAAGACTGGGGATGTAGCCCAATGCAGAACTTACTTGCCTGGCATTCATGAGGCCCTGAGTTTAATGCCTAACTACTGGGAAAGGGTGGGGGGCACACAGGGGAGGGGAGGAGAGAAGAGAAGAGAAGAGAGGGGAAGGGAGGCGAGGGGAGTGAAAGAAAGAAGAGACCCAAGGTCAGGGGGCTGAAAGTGTACCTCAGTGGTATGTTAAGCAGGAGCAAGGCAAAGAGTTTGAAATGTTCAAGAAGTGGAAAGATCAGAGAGGCTAGAACAGAGTGGAAAGTCCAAGATAAACCAGGCCAAGGTTTATGTTGGCCTTATCCAGGGACTGCTTGGAATTTTATTTTAATGCTAAGGGAAGTCACTGATGGGCAGTGGCATGAACCTGTTGGACTATTGGGGAAGAAAGGACCTGCTAGGAAGACTGAGTGGCAGTGGCAGTCCAGGAAAGACCTGGACAGGTAGATCCAGTGGAGAAGAACTAAGAAGCCCAGAGGGACTCCCCCCACAGGCTGTCTAGTTAGGGCTCTCCTAACCAGCCCCAACTCAAAATTCCTTTTTCTCACTGGGAGTCAGAAGGCCAGATTATCACTACACTCTGGGACCTTGTGCCCTAGACTAAGTAGATCAAGAGGCAGGTAGAGAGAGCGAATTGACAGTCAGACACTTTCCTTTCAATTTAAACCTCTCAGTTCTTTGCTATGCTTTTTTAAAAACTTATTTGGGGTCTGGGGATTTAGCTCAGTGGTTCCAGCGCCTGCCTCGAAAGCGCAAGGTCCGGAGTTCGATCCCTGGTACCAAAAAAAAAAAAAACTTATTTGGTCCTGGAGATTAAATACAGGGCTCCGAACATGTTGGCAAGCATTTTACCACAGAGCCACACCCCCAGCTCTATTCTTTCTTTATTCCCTCAACTATAAATCACTTGGGTTCAAAGCACTTCCCAAAATGGGCAACAACAACATAAACACCTGAGCAAGTGAGAATTAAAGATGTGTAGGAGGGGCCAGGGATTTAGCTCAGTGGTTCTGCTGCCCGCCTCCCAAGCGCAAGGACCCAAGTTCGATCCCCTGTACCAAAAAAAAAAAAAGATGTGTAGGAGACCCAAATATAAATGCACTCTTTTAACCCTGTAAACACAATAAACCAAGGCACCAGGAAAGAAACCTAGAGAGAAAACAGACAAACCTGAGAATTGAAAACATCTACATCACATTAGGACGGGAACTTTTCAAACTGTGCACCCAGGTGTGGTAGAAGATTGTCCTTCCCCCAAAAGATACAGGCTCTAATCTCTGGAATCTATAAATATGCTAAATTATGTGGTAAAAGGACTATGTAGGTATAACTTTAAAGAGATTATCTTGGATTACCAGAGTGGGCCCTATTCTAAACTGACCTGTAAAAGCAGAGAATTTTCTCTAGCTGAAGTCAGAGATGTGGCAAAAGAACCGGCAGCTGCCAAAAGGAGGCACATAGAAAGCATGAGCAGGAAACAAGCTCTAGGAACAAAGAAAATGACCCCTACCAAATATCCAGGAAGGAAAGAGGATACCTTAGTTTTATAAATGCAAGGAACTGAATTTGGCCAGCAACCTGAATGGGCTTGGGAACAGATTATACCCGAGGAAATGCATCCTGCCAACCTCTTGATTTTAGCTATGTAAAACTCTTAAACAGGCAACTCAATTAAACCTACCTGAACTTCAGATCTACAGAAATGAGGGGGAATTTTTTTTTTTTTTTTTAGACAGGGTCTCAACGTGTATTTCAGGCTGGCCTTGAGCTCGCTATGTAGCCAGGCTGGCCTCCAACTCAAAGGAGTCCTACTGCCTGGGCCTCCTGAGTGCTGGGATTACAGACATGTGCCACCAGCCCTGGCTAAATCTATGTTTTTGGGGGGTTTTTTGTTTTTTCTCTGTGTTGTTTTAAGGCACAATATGTGTGGTAATTTGTTATGACAGCAACAGAAAAAAAATACACAAACAAAAAGGAAAAAAGAACTCAGTTCTCCCAAGAGCACAAGGAAGTATTTGGTCAGTTTCAAACACCCAAAACTCTTCAATCTTCCCTCTAGCCCTCTGACACTTCCCCAGCCTTCTCTCATTGCCTTGAGATAAGAACACATTCTTCTGGTTCTTCATCACAGGGCTTTCCCAAAGAGGAATCCTTGCCTGAGGGCCTTTTCTAGCAAGAGTCCTCAAATGGGTTATCCCTCAAGATTTCACCTAAGTACATCAACAAAGCACTGTTCATTGATTCTGCAAAGTCCACAGAATTGTCCAGAGGCCATTCCATGGCAGTGCCCAAAGCTACTAATGTTATAGTTCCTATTCCTTCCACTCTACTGTTGTTTCCCACCATTCAAGCCCAGCTTCCTTCCTTCCACCCCACCCCCTTCATCCAGTTAGTCATTAAGAATAGCAGGGGATTTAGCTCAGTCGCTCCGCGACGACTGCCCTGCAAGCCGCAAGGACAAAGCCGCAAGGACCCGAGTTTGATCCTCGGTACCGAAGGGGGAAAAAAAAAAAATTGTCTGCACTCTGTCATTTCTCTAGAATCTGTCTTCCTCTTTCAGTTTCTAAAGTTCTTTCTTCCAAGTTCTAAAGAGGGCCTTTATAATCTTTTGCCTAGTCATTCCACGATGATTTTATGAAGTAATAGGATAAAGTAGAGATCTAGTAGTGGAAATACAAGGATGAAAAAGGACAGTTCCCAAGCCCTAATAACTCAAAACTCCCCAAATGGCCAGACTGGTCTCACAGTCCTTGATTCATCTCCGGGGATTTGAAAGATCTTCCTAACACTGGCATTTCACAAACTCAAAACAGGCCACATGCCAAATCCAAGCTCAATTTCTTAGCATAGCACCCACTAGTAACGTGCTAGCACCTGCTCACCCTCATTCCATTATCTCTCTGAACTTCCTTACTCCCTAACTCCACAATTCTCAGCCTACAACAAAAATCCTTCGTCCAGTAAGCGCTCTCCCTTCCCACTCCTACTGGTCACCTACTCCTCAAGGCTGCTTCAGGCCTGCTCAAGCTAACTGTCTCTTTACAGGAAGCCCCCGAAGCACCCACATCACAGAGCACTGGCAATACCTTACTGTGTTTGTTTTCCGTACGGGGGGATCAAACTCGGGGACCTTGCGCCTGCAAGGCAGGCGCCAGAATCACTGAGCTAAATCCCCGGCAAATATTAAGGTTCTTTTTTTAAATTTTGTTGTTGTTCTTTTTGGTACCGGGGATCAAACTCCGGACCTTGCGCTTGCAAGGCAGGTGGCGGAATCACTGAGCTAAATCCCCGGCCCTGTGTTTGTTCCTTAACCTATAGCGATATTTCAGGGAAGGGGCTGTCTCAGGCAATTCTGTGAGGAACACAACAGGACAGTAAGCTCAGTAAAAACTACTAAATGAAACAAGCAGTGGGCAAGCTAAAGTTCTGCTGAAAGGGGCGCTAACCTCAGGTCTTCCCTCCCTCCTCCAGAATGCCTGATCGCTTCCTGACAGCCGCTTCCTGCCAACCTTTGGACAAGCCCACACTCCGTTAGATTTTCCGTCCCTAAGGCCCACAACCCAAATACCACCCAAACTCATCTTCCATCAACCCTCTTCTAATTTTTTTCTCTCATCCTGATGCGCTTCTGAATGAAACCACAAAACATCTAGCCTTGCTAAAACCACCACAAATGGCTTCCTTCCCTTTCCGTATTCCGTATGAATCAAAGCCGGGGAAAGTCTGCACCCAAGGCATACACATGACGAATGAGAAACCTCAGGACGATGACTCATAAGGCAGAGCTCCTTGGTTTGCAGAGTTCGGCCCTAAGAAAGCTAACAAGCAGTCCTTGTCTGCCGACAACGATGGGGACCACCACCCGGATAGGGCCACTCGCTAGAACTCACGCAGTTACCCGGCGCCCTCGAGACTCCGCCGGGTTTCCCCGCCGGGGGTCTACTTCAGGTCCAGCCCCGGTCTCGCCCGCGGCGCAAAGACGGAAGATGGTCATCCTGCCATCCGTTCCAAGCTCTACTCACATTTGACTGACCAGCTTCTGTCTGAAAGCGGCGCTCCGCCAGTCAGTCTCCTGCCCCGAAACGTCCATGCCGGTACCCCAGCTCCACCTGCTCCCGTCCCACTCGGCCGCCACCGCCTCTACTACAACCAGGCCCAAACCCGGAAACTGTCTACGGCTCCTTGGCCGCGCCGGAAGTAAAGAAGGAATTGTGGGAAATAGAGAAGCGCGCGCGGGCCCTGTGGGAAATAGAGTTCCCGGGTTGCGTGCTGGACGGGCTAGTCTGACTCTTCCCGGGCTCCGCTTCCAGGTACTTCGTCTCCCTGGAGCTTTGGACTCCTCACCCAGAGTGCAGTCTTGCGTGGCCGGGATCCCAGATGTGCCGGGATGGGAAGAGTGGTGGCTGCGTGGAGTTCCTGGTGCTGCGGCAGGAGTTGCTCACTTGCATTTCTTGCAACCCTTCTGTATGCTGGTCTCATTTAGTCCCTGAGATCTGGATCCCTCGAGGATACTGGGCCAAGTGGCCAGCTGTCTACAGGGATGCTAGGGAAAAGAGAGTTTTTTGTTTGTTTTTTGGCTTTTAATTAAGTATACGTGAGCACATCCTGTGTGCGAGGTACTGTGGCTTGCTTGCCTGCCAGCGTTGCGTCGGATGAGTGAGCAGGTAGACTGTCATCACTCCTTCCCTTAGACTTTGGACTCTCAGATCCCACCCCACCCACCATTGTGGTTGTGGATATTAATCCCCCCCCCGCCCCCGCTGTCCTGGAGATTGAGCTACAGCCCTAACTTTTTAATTTTGAGACAGGGTCTTGCTAATTTGCCAGGACTGGCCTCAAACTTGCAATCCTCCTGCCTCACCCTCCCGAATATCTGAGATTACAGGCATGCACCACTGCGCCCGGCCGACGTTTATTATTTTTATGGGCTTTCCTGTTGTCTTTCCACGTAGTCTGCTCCAGCCCAGATGGTCGCCAGAGGCTGTACATCAAACTCTTAAAAAAAAAAAAAAAAAGGACCGGGGATTTAGCTCAGTGGTTCCACCGCCTGCTCGCAAGAGCAAGGACCTGAGTTCGATCCCCGGTACCAAAAAAAACCAAACAAACAGGGTCTCGCTATGTAGTCCAAGCTGGCTTTGAACCATGTAGTTTAGGCTGGCCTCACAGCCATCCTCCTGCCTTAGCCTCCTGAGTGTTGGGATTACAGGACTACATCACCATGCCTGGACTTAAAGTTTCTGGGTGGAGGAAGTGAGCAGTACACAGGACGGAGGGTTCCAGAATCTGAGGATACCTTTTTTTTTTTTTTGGTACCTGGGATCGAACTTGAGACTTCGCACTTGTGAGGCAGGCGGCAGAACACGGAGCTAAATTCCGGTCCTCTGAGAATACTTTTAAGAGGGCTGTGTACACCCTTTGTCCCTGAGCACTAGGCAGGGTCTTGCATTGATGTGAAAGCTCTCCATATCTTCAAACATTTTTTGCTGTCATTCTCCCAAAATAGCTTTTAAAAAAAAACTCAACCTAGGGCAGTCAGTGTGTCCTGGTTTGACCAGAACTTTCCAAGTTTTAGCTGTGACCCCCCCTTAGCCCTAGACCAAACAGACTGGTTGATCACACTATCTGTACTTCTCTTGTACATTTTTATTATTATATAATTCACTACTATATAATTTACCCTTTTGAAGTGTCCAGCAGTTTCTAGTCTATTTATGTATTATAAGGTAGTGCAACTTTTACCACTGTTGCACATTTTTGACAACTAAAAAAATTATTCTGAATTGCTCAGGGTATAGCTCAGTGGTAAAATGCTTGCCTAGCATGCATTAAGCCCTAGATTCTAGCCCGAGCACCAAAAATAATTTTAAAAAGCATTTATGCTGTGCTTGGTGGTACATCCTTGTAACCCCTAGACTCAAAAGTTCTACACTATGTAGTGAGACCCTGTCTCAAAAGAAAAAAAAAAAAAGTTAAGGTGTGGTGGGGATGTAACTCAGTGTGAAGGCCCTGAATTCAATAACCAGTACTGCAAAAAAAAGTTATAATAAATATTTCTCTGTGACTCATTAGAAGACTGTAACTGTTGGTTTATTTTATATCGTATATGGGCTTCACATGCTTGTTTGTTTGCTAAAGGGTCTTGCTATGTAGCCGAGACTAGTCTCAAACTTGCGGTCCTCCTGCCTCAATTTTCCAAGTACTGGGCAACCACCACCATGACAAGCTTTTCAAATGCCCTTTTTTTTTTTTCTTTTTTGAGACAGGGTCTCACTGTGTAGTTCAGGCTAGCCTCGAACTCACAGCAATCCTCCTCCCTCAGCCTCTCAATTGCTGGGGTTACAGTCATGTTTTACCACACCTGGATTTTCTCAAATGCCTTTTGTTAGATCTTTGTCCCTGCAGATTATATTCATTGACATAGCCAGTCCTCATTATCAAACCCTCTGGCAAATTAAACACACTGGAAATTTTGAAAAAAATAGGGTGGACATCTTGTCTGACTTGAAAACATATTAATAATGTCCTCAGGACAACCTACCCCCTTGTGTACTCTGGTTTGAGGAAAACAGCAACAAATACAGAGATTCACAAAGAGACAAAGTCCCAGGGCCCTAACAGTTTTTGTCACTATGATCATATATTAGGTGCTGTTTTCTTGTTCTAAGATAGAACTGTACCCTTAAGAGGGTTGAGATGCTATTTTTCAGATAAATAACTTCTCAAGAAGTTCCGGAAAGAAACATTACATAGCCAGGCCCTAGTTGCATATGCCTATAATCTCCAGCACTCTGGGAGGCTAATGGCAGGATTGAAAGGCCATGCTGGGCTACCAAGTGACCTTGTTTCAAAAAAGAAAACAAGGGCCAGGGATTTAGCTCAGTGGTTTCGCTGCCTGCCTCGCAAGCACAAGGTCCCAAGTTGGATCCCCGGTACATATATATA